AAAGTGAGATACAAGTGACATAAAACATTATATTAGTTTAGGTATATTTACCAGTTTACGTCAAAGAATATTACAGAGATACAGATGAACAGCCAGATGAAGATGTACATAGGGTAGGCCTCATGGAGAAGGGTCACACATCTTCCAACACATCACCTCACAGCACCTCCATGTGTCCACCAACCTGGAAGTTTTCTGAACCCCATTTTTTAGGGGTTTTATGGCAGCCTGATTAATTAAACCAATAACTATTGGTGATTGGATTCATTCCCCAACCCCTTCATCTCCCTGGAGATCTGGAGGCTGGAGTGGGGCTGAAAAATCCAACCATCTAATCACAGGGTTGGTTCTCTTGGCAACATGCCCCCATCTTCCAGGAGTTACCTCAATAGCATAAATAGCTATGGCTTAAAAGGGCTTGTTATGAATAACATTTAGAAGCTCTGTGCCAAGAGCCAGGGACAAAGGCCAAATATATATTTCTTGTTATATTTCATCCAGTCGTTAAGAGGGAATAAGAATTCCTGTCTATGCTTGTCCCTCACAGATAGGATGTACCATATTTGGGAAAACTTATGGAATGATTGTGTGTTGGGTGATTGGAGAAGAGTGGAAACAAATACATGAGATTTGGTGTCAGTTATCTCGGTTTCTTAGGAAATTAGTTTTAGCAGTGAACTAAATAGTTATGTTACCTGATTCATCAGAAGTCTGCCTCTTCCAGAAGCCCTTGAATTCTCATTGCCAACACAGAGTTGCTAGAGAGTCTACCCTTGAACTCATAGGCCCTTTGTTTGTTGTCATCATTGCAGGTAATTAAAAGTTAATATTTGAAACAAGTGAAGTCAAGCAGAAATAATGACTTTGACTTACAGTGTTGAAAGGTCACAGCTGGCCATGTGACTAGCGCTCATACTCCTTCCTGGGCTCCCACCACATAGCAAGTCTCAGAGAAATGTAATGATAGCCCTGGCCAGGAGGATAAGCTTTGACTGGAAATGGCAGGATGGGACAGGGTGTTTTTTGGCTGTGTGTGGTTTTCTTCTTTTTATAGCTTTATTGAGATATAATTGATATAAGAAAAATGCACACATTCAAATTGTAAAATTTGCACAGTTTTGGCATCTTTGGTGCAACTATCACTACTGGTAAGATAATGAACATATCTATCACCTCAACAATTTCCTGTATCCCTCTTATAATTCCTTCCTCTCCCAACCACACCTCCACTTCATCCCCAGACAACTGCTTTCTATCTGCTTTCTATCACTGCAGTTTAATTTGTATTTCTTACAGTTTTATATAAATGGGGGGGGGGGAATGTGTGCACGTGCACTAGCGTGGTTTTGTGTACTTGTTCCTTCTCTCTACCTCAGCTTTAGGAAAAGAGAAAGTTCAGTGAATGTGTCCTTAGGACACATTCCATTCCTAAGTTAAGAGGTGAGAGTAAACCCCAGGAGCTGAGTCAACTCCTTTGCTTACTTTAGTTGATGATCCTTGGTTAGACTTTTTGTGAGCAGGGGCCAGGGTTTACTGTTACCAAGCAGATTAGAGGTAAGCACTGTTGATCTCCCCAAATTCACAAGTACAAATGCTTTAGTCTGTGAGGTTTTACGAGGCTGATGCATGATTGTGATAAGTATCATAAATTCTATTACCAGACGGTGTTCCTTGTCACTGGAGCTGTGCAGAAGGCTGGATGGATCCAGCCACTGTCACTGAAGATGCTTTGTGACCTTGCCTTAGCCATGTTTAGTTTCCCACTTGAAAGATGGGGATGATGCTCCCTTTTACCCCTTGTTGGCTAATGGAGTAAAGGTGCATTTAAACAGTAAAAGATATTTCAGTGGTAGATGTTACAAATCCCTGGTTGACCTACCGTCCTAATGATATAATGACCTGGTTGCAATAATTTTTTATGGTGAATAATTCATTACAATAAAGCTTTGGTCCTTATCTCTGCCCACTCCTGCTGTGTTGAAAGGGCATAGTTGTCAGATGGAGCTCTTGCTCCTCCATAGAGGCCTCCTCTAGGCCTCACATCTCTCCCCCTTACCTTGTTACATTTGACTCTCAGCTGGAGGCCTGTGGAGGGTTGTGCTCCCCTGCTGTGCCTTGTGCAGTGTGGACTTGGATGGCAACTCTGAAGTGGTGCCACTGTGCCTCTGCTTCCCAGCAGGCAGTCCAGGGGACTCATTTCCTCTAGTAAATTCAGGACACAGTTTACATACTTCAAAAGAAAGCAGTGCATCCTAACGTGAGGGATGGATACAGCTAACAATTTAGACTACTTGGGTTTCAGGTGTGCATGAGTTTGCCAGACTGCAGCACCTTCTTCTGGTGGTTCCTAAAGAGTGGAGATGCCTTGTTTATTGTGTTCAGGAGCATTATGATGCTAGGAAGATAAGGAGGGGAGTCTTGGGGGCCTGTGAGGCAATTAGCACCTGGCACATGACCAGGGACCCCAACACCCCCACCCCGCCCAGTTAATAGTGTCTGCAGTGGCACTGGGATACCCTAGGCCTATAGTCACCACTGAGCATCTGGCCCCTAGGATATGGCCAGATGAGGCCTCTAGCAGGAGTTAGGGGAAGAGATGTGAGGGGAGCTCCAGCCCACCTAAGGTCTGCTGGCCTGTTTTTCTTGGACTGATTTTATCTGCCCTCTTTTCTTCCTCCCCCCATATGTTGCTCCCTGGGTTTCCTCATTGTTCACCTGCCTCTCTACATTCCCAAGGCTTTTTCCCAGCCTTTGTTTTTTATGCGAAAATCCTCTAGGTCTAACCCTCTCAAAGGATATGTCAGAGGAGGAGATTGGGCTTCCATAGCTGCACAGTGGCTGTGGTGGCCATGGCGGATTTGAATGGATCATGGCTAGTGAAACTGAGAAACCCTATTTTATTTTAATAAATTTAAATTTAAAAGCTGATAATTGATTCAGTTATTTGGAAAACTTTTAAGTGTATTTGGTATAACTGGTACATGAAATGTGCTTTTTCAACTGTAAGTTTTATGAAATCTAAATACAGACCAAATATTTTCATGAAAATTTAGCATCTCATTTGAGATGTGCTCTAAGTGTACACACCAGATTTTAAAGACCCACTACAGACAAAAAATATGAAAATACCTCATCAAAATAGTGATTACATATTGAAATTATAGTATTTTGTGGGTTTTTTAATAGGCAGGGATATGTGCATTTTATTTTATTTTTGTGATAGTTTATTTTTTATTAATGGTGTACAATTATTTTACATCCTTGTTTGTTTTTTCACAATACAGTATTTCTCCCCTCTGGTGTGGTCACCATAGTTTTCCCATCACCGAAGCACTCATAGTCTTCCACCATAGTTCATTGTGCTCTCCACCCCTCTTGTCTCCCTTCTTCCTCCTCACCCTGAAATTACAGTATTTTGAATCTACTGGATTATATAAAATATATTATTAAAATTAATGTCATTGGTTTCTTTTACTTTGGGGGGAGAGTGGCCAGTAGAAAGTTTAAAATTTCACACTTCACATATTTTATTGTATTTATATTGGACTATTTGCTCCCAATTGCCCATTTAGCTGCATTTACATTATTAGGCAGCAGCCAAACTGAAGGAGGACTTGTCTCCTCTGCCAACCTATGGCATTTGCCATAGACTTCCCTAATCATCAGCCAAGATGGCCTTGAGTTCAGGGATTAGAGAGAACGGAGAGAGACAGGAGATGACTTCTATGCTCGTTGCTTTCTCCAGGAAGTACTCTCTCTGTCTTCCCCTTACCCCTAGTGGGATGGGAGCAAGTATAAAGAATGTGTGTTCCACAGGAGCTCTGTGCCTTGCTCCTCACCTGTCCTCATTCTTGCCATTGTCTGTGACACCTGGAAGGATGCCAAAGTAAAGAACAGAAGAATCCTTGTGTCCCAACTGAAGAGACCACCATAACTGCAGGGGCTTGTCATGTTTCTACTCTGAAGCTGTGTCCCTGCTTTATCACCTTCTGGAGCAGACGTAACCTCGAACATTTCACCTGCCTCGGGCCTAGGGCAATGGAAGTGAAAATTGGAAGCTTTTCTAAATAAGAAAAGGAAACAGTGATGATGCAATTTGTAACCCTTACAGGACTGCCTCCTTTAGCAAACCAGAATGTGAAATCTGGCTTTCGACAATGGATAAAATGGAAGGCAATAGCATGTTTTGCAGAAAGTGTCCAAAGTAATCTAACAGGCAACCAACAGAGGCTTTCTACCCTCTAGGAACTATTAATTAAGCCAAGAGGCCATTAGACTGAGGTGACACTAATGTCATGGTGACCTATGCTAGCAAACTAAAGTTTAAGCCTGTAAATGCCTCAAGGTTATGAAGTCAAACCTAAGTACAACAATCACAAACAGCTTTAAGCCATGGGCAATCAAATAATTTCCTCTCTTTACTCCTGCACCTTCTCTGTGTCAGTCTTTTCCCAGTTCCTTTCAGCAGGTTGCTTCTAGCTACTTTTGATTTGGTGCTGCCCAAATCAAATGTATTTTTGCTCATACTCTTAATCTTTCTTATATGCTACAGTATAGTTAACTTCACTATACTTTACTTAACTTAAAGTTAAGTATACTTAAAGTTTACTATACTTAAAGTTAAGAAGACATACGGCCCATCCCGTATATTCATGTCACTTTAGTTAGGAAGATCTCCCTTTTTCCCATCTGCTCAAATATGACTTATTCTTCAAGGCCTAGCTCAGATTCCCGCCTTCTCTCTGAGCCCTACACTGGTTACTCTGCATTTCCCAGCTCTACTAAGCAGCTGTATTACCTAGGACTGCACACACTATAGGCCTCCATTTTCAGTGAAGTGATTAAGTACATCAGTATATTTTACCTTGATGCCAGGTTCTAAGACTTGAATCAAGTGATTATTATTAACTGTTCTGATCAATTACCTATCACCATAGACAGAGATACACACACTGCTTTGCCAGTGATGCTTTAACCTCATTTCCAAAAAAAACAATCTGATGTGAAAAACATTTTATTTATAATTTCTTCTATTTACAGTGAATGTCATTACAATCATTCTTACAATAAATACAGAACTGCCAAACAGACCATTATCACAGTGGCTGAGACATAGGGGCAGAGGGGAGCCGCAGGTGACAGCTTCCCAAGAACCTGTCAGAAGACCTTCAGAGAGTTTAGTGAAGGGGAGAAGTATTTGAGGTCTGAATTTGAATTGAGATTAAATCGTCAATGCAGCAAAATCCTAGACTGTCTACTAGGAAACAGGTATACAGGTGTAAGTTTTTACTATTTTTACCAGATGATGCTAAAGAAAAGGAGCAAAGACAGTGGAGCCTTCCTGTTAATGAGAGGCAAAGGAAAGACCAGAAGCCAGAATCTTCCCTGTATCCCTCCCACAGCCTAAGCCTTGCTCTTGTTATCTCTACCTGCTGTGTGCCCAGAACAGGATGGGGCCCTCAGAGGTTGAGGGGTGAGTGTGGGGCACCAGGAATCATGCTACTGGATTTATTTAGTGGCCACTAATGTCAGTGGGATTAAGTGAGGACCTGAAGAAAAATCTCCCAGTTTCAAAGCTGGATACTCAGGAGTCCCATAAGGACTAGCGAGGAAGTAGACAGTGTTGATTCTTGGATCCTTCTGTTTACCTCCCTGACTTTGTTTGGTCTCAGCCCTGGGGGCTGAGAGCCTGGCTACATTGAGGGGGACAGGGGCAAAAGAAATATCACTGTTTTCACCATCTAGTAAGTCTCCTTTTTTGTGAGTAGCCGTTGTGCCAGTTACAATGACCTCTCTGTTTTCTCACAAAACCTCTATTATAAAGGTGTAAAAGCCTTTCAAAGGATAGCTCCACTGCTCTGGAGATATTTATGTTGGTTTCTGATAGGCAAGTTTGGGCCAGAATCAAGAAAGCCTCATCTAAGTCACACTGCTCATTCATGAGGGCTATCCCTGTGTCATTTGAGCAGCACCAGGCGAGCTAGTGGTGAGGATGGGATGCCAGCCTGGGTTTGGGTGGCCGAGGTCTCATTGCCCACACATTTGAGTCCCCCTGGGTCACGTGTTACCCTGCCTAGCTATAGTGGGCTATAGAGACACAGGGCTGGCGTGACTACAAAAAGTTGTGATCATGGAGAAGGAAGAGTCAGAGGGACAATAGAAGAGTCAGAGTCAGAGGGACAGGAGAAGGAAAAAGATAAAGAAACCTATGCTTCAAGAGGACATTCCTTGCTGTCAAAATGAGACTATGAATCAGAAATCTCTGCACTAAGGTACTAGCCATGAGAGCCTGAAAGTTGGGGGCTCCCAGGGAACTAACTGTTTTCCATGGGGCTTTCTCATCCATGGGAGGAGAATGAAAAAGAAATTGGGTCTACTCAGAAACTGTCTTTGTGACCTGAGGGGAGGGGAGAAAACCAGGGAGAATCTTTGTAACATTCTATTATATTGGTCCCTAAATACCATGATGCCAGTCCCTGCACAGATAACTTTTATGGCTTGAAAATATATTTTAATTAAACAATAACTTGACATCCTCAAAGTCAGAGAAGTTAAATCCCAATTCTAGGTTAGCAATCGGGACATGGCAAAGGTGGCAGAAATAAACAGACAAAGCCCTCTGATCATTGTGCTTCTGCCTGTTTCCTTGAGATTCAAAAGCAGTGTGGGTCGTCTCAGAACTCATGTGTACACTACAAGATAGGAACAGTATATTTTCAAGGAATAGTTGAGTTATTTATAAAAACTGTAAAATATAAAATATAACTGCCCCACTGACAGGAGGTTGGATTTGAGCTTAATATTCTATCCTTCTCATACTTATGGCATAACAACTTATGCTTCCAAAGTGAGACTCTTTCAAGACCTATATGTCTTCTCATTCTCTAAGGTCCATTCAGTGCTCTGACCCAAAGCACATGACTTGAAATGACTCTATGTCAAAGTATAGCTCTTATTTTTTGAATAGCTTGATACTTTGTGTATCAGTTCTTCCCTGCCACTGAGTCCCCAAGTTGTTAGGTCCAAGATTTTGTCATAGTAGAAGGAAATAAGAGGACAACAACAATCTCTTCCCTGAGAAAAGAAACTGAGTCTCAAAAGCAAAACTCAAGCCGAGAGTGCACATTCTGTTCTGAAAGCTTGGACAAGAAGCAGGATTTCCAGGACACTTAGAGTCATACTCAAGTCAACCGCTGGATGAAAATGTTTTCCAACCAATTACAACCCCCAGTGGGCAGGTTTGTTTATGTCCCCAAGACCCAAACCACTTAATAGTCCCACACAGATGAAGCAGACAACTCAGATCCCCACCTCCTGGGTGGAATGTTCCCATTCATGGGTTCTGGGGGCATGGTCATAGCTTCAGGCGCCCAGCTAAAGGCCCCCTGAAAGTCTGGGGTGTTTACAGGTTAAGCGCCAGAGAACACATTTGTGTGTTACAAGTGTCCAGGGAGGCACGGTGTGTATGGTCCAAAGCATAATCCTTCCTTGGACACACCTAGAAGTGTTGGGACTTCAGGCATTGGTTTCAGTCTCTTTCCTGATGGCTGGTTTGTAAATGACTCCTTTGTTTTCACCTTTTTTGCTACTGGAACAGCAAGAACACACATGTTAGTCAAAGAAGAGAGCCAGAGAATAGCCAACTCAGTTATGGAATGAGGCAAGTTTTAAATTCCTTTCTTAGGGAGCTTTCCCCCATTGTCTTAGTTTTAGGAGGAATTGCCCCCCAAAAAAGCATTAACCCAAATGGAACCTGTTCATTTTCTAACTGTACTCTTTTAACAGCTTATGATACTAGACCTATTTTGGAGATCATCTCATTACCACCCCCAAGTGGATTCAAACCTTAGATTCTGCAACTTTTTTTTTTTAATACTGGGAAAAATAGGTTTTAGGAAAACCCAAACATGAAATAAAGACATGAACAAAAAGCATTAATAGCTAATGTAAGTGAGAAATCAGATTTTCCCTCATTTTCTTTTTGGATTCATCAGCAAAATATACATGTAAAATTCTTAGAAAGAAGATAGCCTTCTGCTTGTACTTAGGCAAATAGGGGACAATACCTCCTCCCCCAAACTCAAGATACTTACCCAAGATTATTCAGCTAATTGGCAGTGGCAGCAAGGCTGGCACACCTCCAACTCAGAGCCCCATGACCCTTGTCTCCAGCATTACATGTGACCAGGGGCAGTAGTGCTTGGAAACAGCACTTCGAGGCTCAGTGTGGTACAGGTGATAGAAGCTCTTCATTTTGTAGGCTGCCTTCTCAGACAGGTGAATCCTCACAGACACATAAGCCACCCACTCCTATTTTAAATCCAAACCAGCTCACCTCTTCTTCCTTCTGAAAAGCCAAATGGACACTGCTAGGACCACACAGACGCCGAGAATGCCAGCCAGGGCCACGGAAAGGATGATGCCTGGTGAAGAGGCAGTGAACATGCATTACCCTCCTCTCTTCCCCTTTGTCTCTTCCCACAGCACTTGGGCATGAAGTCAAGTGACAGCTGTGTAATCACACGCAGAGAAATTTAATTTCCCCATCTCTGCTCTCAGATTCTGGTCTTTGGCTCAGTGGATCTGATGTACTTAAAGTGGGCCTTTTACAAATTGTAGTGATTCTCCAGCAGGGGTTCTCAAATTTGCACCAGGATCATCTGAAAAGCTGATTTAACATGTAAATTATTTTTAAAAAATCCAACTCTCAGAGACTTTGATTTAATCTGTTTGGAGTGGTGCACAGAAATAGACATTTTTACCAAACTCCTCTAGCTGGCACTGGTGCACCTGGTCCATGAGCCATACTCTGAGAAACCCTGGGTACAGAATTAGCACTCATTCCATATTTGCTTGCTAGATTTAAGGCCCATTGGGATGCCTTCTTATCAGTTTTGCCCCCAAATTCCATTGCAATCCTAAGCAGTCCAAAACAACCAAGAGCCCATTGGCAAGGTCAGCCAGCCAGTCACCCAACCTGCACACTGGGCTCAGGCATGGTTTTAGACAGTGGCCTCCTATCATGGCCAACAGAAGGTCTTGGATAGGTTCAATATATACATGCAGTAGCGTGATTAGCTCATTCCATAGGGGAATATTTGATTGGCAGTTCAGCTTGGAATCAGATAGTCACTTAAGGGTAACAGTGAGAAGGGGGCCAGGAGCCACAGCAGTGGTACGGAGGAACAAAGAAGACAGATTGGAAGTACCATAGGCCCGGATCACACCAAGAATCACAGTGATTGCCCAGTGCAGCATGCACGGCCCAGTGGCCACATACCCAGACTGAATCCTGCGTAGGTAAGGTCTTGCACTTTATAGGAGAGGGGAAAAGATTGGAAATTAACTGAGTCAATGATGGTGGATTTGACTAGTGTGCTGAGTGAAGCTCTATCTTTTGTTTGGTTGGAGGTATGGGACATATACAGACCTTCTGGGGGTTGTTCACCCTTGGCTCTGGCAACTACCTGATAGGGTTGAAGAAGTTGCCCACCTAGGAAATTCATTTGGTGATCTGCCTTTCCAATGCTCCTTTATCACAGTAGTCTCCTTGCTAGGGCAAGGCTTCAGTTTGTAATACAGCAGAAGGCAAGGAAGGGTGAGGATCAGAGTCTATTTGAGCAAGTTGTTACCTGCTTCCTAGCAAGGAACCTGCCAGGTCCTAGCTGGCTGGGACTGGCAGAGCTTAACTGGAACCTGTCACCAGACTTCTCTTGCATAGCCTCCTAGTATTCTTGTTAGGATCTGGTTTTATTTTTGCTTTGTCCCCAGTGGATAAACTGGAAGAATTCCTTTATGATACCAGCCTTCCTTCTCTGCTACATGAAACCCGAGGATTGTGGCTTCTCCAGCAAGTTATTGTTGGGGATAAACAGGGTGAGTTAGGACTTTTCTCCCCAGCTCAGTGGAGCTGAAATAGTACCCGGTTATCAAAGGTGAAATCCCATAGTTAGTCCGCTAAGGACCTCTCTGGAGGAGGGTCATGTGTGAGTCCTTCTTGAGTAAGACAGGGGAGCCAGTCATGAAATCCCTGTGGGTCATGCTCAGCCTGCTTCCAGAGTCCAAGAGCTACTCCCCATTCTACCAATTGGGTCTTCCATCTAAAGAAAGTCTCTGTGTACACATACTCTCGTCTGGTGTTTTTCAATAGAAACTTTTAATTTGTGTGTGTGTGCAGGGTGGGGTGGGGTATGCTTGTTCCAGCTCACTTTGGAAGCCAGGGAAATGCTGATGGTGGCTGAACAGCCCACACAGGAGAGCCACTGTGGTGGCTGAGACCCCAGGAGAAACCTGACCAAATGTGAGATGCCAGCAGAAGGCCAGGGATTCACCACTGAGGCACTTGACATGCCAGGGAACAAGATCTAAGAAATGCAGGGAGAGGTTTTGCTAACCCCTTTCTCTTCTCATATGTCCCAAGTCTGGCTGGCTCCCCTAGAACCGTCAGCCCTGTGTCCTTTCCCTATTGTCCTCTTCTGCCATCTCACATTGGTCCAAAAGCTGGACCCTGGTGGTTCCTGGTCTGGCCCCAGGCTGCTGTGAGGATATGCAGAACAAGTATGGAGAGGAGCTGTCCGCAACAGACAGGGTGGCCTGTTTTCTCTGCTCTTGCCAGGCAATTCTCTGGCTCTTGCCAGGAATTGGCTCTCCTGGCCAATTCCCTGCCCTAGGCTGATTCTGTAACCTGAACACAAGGACTAGTGTGCAGCTTGGGGAGATGCTCAGGACATGAGACTTTCCCCTGAAGAGAACACAAAGTGTTTGTACAGCACATGCTCTGTTCCCTGCACAGCCTGCGGCCTCTGCACACTCTGATTGGTTGGTTTTTGTTGTTGTTGTTTAAGACCAGAGGTCTTGGTCATCAGGGTCTTAAAACAACAACAGGAAAAAACAAAACAAAACTATTTGTGGTTTCTTTTCTACCCTTTTGATGAAATACACTTCTTTGTTCCTAAATTTCCAGATGCTCATGGTGCCATTCCAGTTCTTACCACATGAGACCTTATATAACTAGCATACCTAACCACTTCACTAGATCACCCCAACAGCGTAATTTCTAAAGTTGTCACTTTCATAGTCACCTCAGACATCCTGAGGGCCCTGCTCTGTGTCTGGAGGAGGTGCCCATCACCCTGTGGTCTTAGGGAGCTAAGCAAAACCTGTGGAGAACAAGGCCCCCTAGGAATGGAACTTTCTTAAGAGCATATGATCCAGTGTGGTGGCTTATCTAGGGGAGAGTCAGCTTTCCAGCTTCTCTGAGCTGTGCGCTCAGCTCTCTTAGACCCTGAAAACAACAGCCTAACTTAATTCAGGGCTCTTCACCTGGCTCCTTGATCCTAGACAACCACTTTGTCATCACCTAAATTGCCTCTTGGCAGTATTAAAATGCAACCAAGCAACCAGGAACACAAGGAAAGCCCCAGAGACCAGGAGAGATGCTTTACATACAAGACTTAGATGCAGAAAAACAAAGCAGCTTGGCTGAGCAAGCAAGAAGACCATGCATAAGGAAGTGGAACGGTGGCCAGGATGTCACTTCCTGAGAATCCGACCCCGCAGGAAGCCCAAGGCGGGAAGATGCTGATGGACGCCAGTCAAGATAGCACCAACCGGCACTGAAGTGGGGTTTCCCTGCAGAGCAGGACCCAGCCCACAGGGCTTGGGACCCACTAAGGCAGATGCTCAAGCACCTGGAACTAAAAGGGAAAAAAAAGTCAGGGATATTTCAGAGCCCAGGGTGCTGGCAGGACAACTGAAGAACTAGAGTTTGGAGAGAGAAGCCAAGCCTGCATCACAGCAGAGCCTCTGAGACACTGTAGAGAACAGGCATCAAAGATGGTGCAGAGATGGGTAGAGACAGAGAAGTTCATCTGTAGATTGAACAAAGAAATAGCTTGTTTCTGAATGGCGAATAAGACAAGCAGTTTCTACTGAAGAACAATCCAACAGTCAGGAGAAACAGACAGGCTGGTTGACAGAGATGGTCCACAGAGCTGTGGGTGAGAATGTTATGAAGGGGCTCCTGAGCTGGTGGAAAGAGATGCACCCTATGCAGAAGTAGAGGGAGCTATTTTCTCTCCATAAAGTGCTCAAGTATACATCAATACGAGCAGAGGTAGAATAGATACAGATATACAGAACTCAGATATCACACACCTCACCTTCCTGGGTGAGACCTGCAGAGGAGGGGGGTGAGCTGCTTGTCACAGGTTATCGCTACCTGTTCTTGCTGAATCAGAAGCTGCATCTTCCTTCCACTGGCATCTTGCTGGACCGAGGGATGCTGGTTAACTGCTTTTGAGGTCTTCTGAAGCCTCAAGTGTAAACACAGCTTGCAGTTCCTGGAACAAGTCTAGCATTTTCTAGGTCTGTATGCAATTATGTTTATTCCAACAGAGTTTTTAATAAAAAGGAATATAATGCTTTTCCTTTCAAAGTATTATTTTAAAGTAAGGATTATTTTTGTAAGTGACATGTTACATAGTAATAACATGTTTTTAACAGATTGTGGTCTTGTAAAGAGGGACAGAGGTTTTTATTTAGCAGGGATTTAATAGTTCAAGTACATAAAATCCAGTTTGGGGTGGTAAAAACTCTTATTATGCTTAATTCAAGTTACAGACTCAAGTAACTGAAATGCTAGTCCTCTCTTTCGATGATACTTTGGTAAAGAAAGCAGGAAAGATGCTCTCCACAACCACAGACCCTAATTATCTTTGGAGGACAGTAGGTAGTTTTCTTGATTAATATTGTGCAACTCAATGAAGAAATCATTTCTACAGATATGCCACTAGATTACTTGAGAGAACTAGGTTTCTACCACCAGTTCTTTGCCCTTCAGACTACAGGGATACAGGTCCAGAAGTGAAGGTCACCCTGCTGTGAGGGGCTCCATCCTGGGGCAGTTGGCAGGGACCAGTGCCAGCACTGGTGCCCTACTCTCAGCTCCCTCTGGCCAGGCTGGATGCGCTGGAGGGATAGTGGGTGGTGGGCCTGCAGTCTTTGATCCCTCAGGCCAGCACAACACAAAGCTCAGCAGCATCTCTAGGTAACTCTCTCCAGACCTTAAAAAGTTTTGATCTTTAATTTCTCTTAAATAAATGGATTGATGTAACACTGTTGGCAAACAAAGCAAAATGAGGCTTAATAAAAGTAAAATCTAATAACTGGCCAGGCTCATATTCAAATTATTCTGCAGGAAAGACACAGGTGAGCAGAGAGGAAGGGGGACAGGTCAGTTACATTCTTTCCACAAACTTGTAATGAGCACCAGGTACCATGCCAGGCACAAAAAGTGAGTAAGAGGCCAGTCATTCCTGTCCTCAAGGGACTTATAATATCTGATAATAAAGATATATTTTTCCCTTTATTTTTTTTCTGTCTGGTGACAAATCATTGCCTTATGGTGTGCTCAGATTCATAACATTAATGAGCAAGTCGTTTTGCTGCATCGGAGGAGATTGTAAGTCACCTCATGGCAATAGGAAAGCCGCCCAACAGGATGTCATTAGAGTTGAGGTCTTGAAAGAATTTTACTGGTGGAAGAGGGAGAGGGGCACCCCCTTCCCCAGCAAAGGGGACAATGTGTGCAAAAGCCAGAAGTATGCACACTTGAAAGTACCTGCTGTGTAAGGAGTGCTGGGCAGGGCACAGGTGGGTGCCATGGAGAGACGATGCCACCTTTCCATTGAGTAGTCCCAGCTTTCTACCTGAGGCCTTTTCCTGAACATAGTCTGCTCTGTGCCAATGGCTTGTTGTTAGGAGCAAGATAACATCCACATGGGGTTTTCTGTTCTCCATAGAGCCTGACCCAGGGTGCCCTCAGGAAATATGGACTGTTGAGTTGTGGTCGAGGAAGGAACTTCACTTCTTAGCACATCTCACAATTGCTCTTGACTATTCAATCCCATGTCCAGGAGGAATTAGAAGGTGGGAACTCCTCTTTCACTTGGGTACTTGGAAGAACTGATGATACTTTCCCATATAATAGAATTTATTTATAAAAAGAAACTTTTAGAAGCACAAAGTCAAGTACCACAAAGGATGCATTCTATTCTCAAAAAATCAGATAATTAGCCATCTTAGCTGTTGTAGGATTATTTTCTCTCTCTTTTTAAAAGGTTTTATAAAATAACCTAAGGTCACTCAGGGTCTAGCATATTCTAATCATGCACACCTCTGCCATGAGCAAGAGCCTATCATTCTATGGTAGGTCTATGACCAGTGCTCTCAACTGAGTTCTCCTCAGCCAGCTACAGGCTCTGCAGCCGATCACCAGCAGTTGCTCAGCTCAAGCCCACTAAAGAAGTGATTATAGAAACTTTTGACTTCCTCTTGTACCCCAAGTTTCCCTTGCCCTGACATGCTGGAAATCGGGTTAAATAACAGTGTTTAGGTTTGATGGGCTCTTGATTTCTTGCCTTATCAGCTTTTGGACCAAGTGTTGGCATTATTGGCTAGATAGAGATTAACTATGAATTGGGCCCCTGGACTATAAATCTACCCCTGATGTATTTTTCCCTCCTCATGTGGAGCATCTGATTTCCTGTGAGAACTGAACTGGTCCCAGAAGTGTTCCCTTTCTCTGAGGTTCCATCTTGAGTACAATGAGTCTTGTTTTCTCTCTTTAGTTCAAATCTACCATCTGTGCCACTTGGAAGGGGTACTTTTTTCATCTCCCCCTAAAAAGTAGGCTTTTTAACCAAGGGCAACAAGAAATATGCAAGAGAGAAAAACTTGTACAAAGGAAGGGGACAGAATGATGAGGGGACTCTGAAAAAAGTTGCTGCCTCACAGTCATGTGGTCCCTGATAAAAGTATATACTTTGCTGATTCAGATAGGTCTCTTAAAGGCAGATAGTTCTTGCTCATCTCTCTTAGCCTTGGATGTACTCAGTTTTACAAAAAATATAAACTGAAATTCTAAAGGAAGATAGGGTTTGTTTGTTCTACTTTAGTCACTGTTTCAGGGGTAACCATCCCCAGACTGAAAATTTCATGTTGTAATAGAATAAAGACCAGGACATGTGATTTAAAATTCTAGAACTCCTTGACATGAGTGGGCCAAAGAATATCAGTGTACCATCCCTGGGACAGTGGCTCTCAACCTGGGGCAATTTTGCCCCTCCTCCCCTGGAGACAATTAGGTAGTATCTGGAGATATTTTGGGCTGTCACAGTGCAGGGATGCTCCCTGGCATCCAGTGGGTCGAGGCCAGGGATGGCACTAAACATCCGACGTGCACAGGATAATCCCCAAATATCAATAGTACCAAAACTGAGACACTGTGCCTTAGGGTAAAGTTTAGCTGGATTATATACCCTTCAAGAATAGAAGGGTAGGGCTTCCCTGGTGGCACAGGCGGTTGAGCACAGCGCTGTGAAGCTGTCCGCAGCCTCTGCAGTGCCAGTTCGATCCCCGCCGGCAGCGGGGCAATCCACATGGCGCAGCAGACCTCTCCTGTCTCGCCCGCTGCTCCCCTCAGCAGTGTATTTCAGTCAGTCTGCCTGTTCTGTTCCCCACTCTGTCTCTGGTGAATTCTCTCACCTTCCCGCACATCTGGCCTATACCCCGGTTCTTGTATAAATAAAATAAATCTTAAAAAAACAAGTTGAAGAAAAAAGAAGGGTATTCTATTCTAAAGAATTAGGTCCTTTTCTAAGCTCCATTGAGGAAAAGTAGGTTCAAATGAAACAATCTGGTCCTAATTGTCCAGATTTGGTTAAACCTCAGATTTTCCTATCAAAGTTCATGCATTTTCTCCCTTAACATTAGAGGATTTCTTCAACATTACTTTTCTCCTGGCAGAATTTTCTGACTCCATAGTTCCTGTTAAGTTTTAGAGAAAACCCTCGATAAGCCAGGTCATAATTCCAAACATGCCTCAGTAGAAGACTACAAATAATCTAGTTCAAACTGCTCCAGGTTCAGGCTGATGGCAGGCCTACCCTATCAACATGAAACAGCATGTTACAGCCTCAGGCCGGCTCCAGGTCTGTGTGGAGGGCCCTGTGGATGCAGGGGTGATGAGTCCATCTTACTGCTCCCTGAGAAACCACCCCATTTGCTGTCTATGAGGCAGTGAGAGGGGGGTGATAATTCTGGCCAAGTTTCTAGAATCAGCCTCTAAGTGAACACATTTGCCTTGGACTGCCATGGCTTCTCACTGGCAGGAAAGAGCTAGGTCCAGCCTGGGCTCTTGGTAGCAGCAGTTCTGGGCAAGCTTCATAGGAGGGGCAGCGGCAAAGCTACACTTGGGCTTTGATCTTGATGTTTTAAGCCAGGGTCAGTCTGGAGGCTTCTGCTTAGAGGCCCAGCCCCCACCCCTCCCAGGTTCCCTGCCAGACTGGGAGGGTCTAGGAAGCGCTCTGCTGCAAGCCTAACTGCACTGCCCACTCTGTAAGCACCAACTTAGACCTCAGCAGGTCTAAGAAGATGGCTAATTATTCCGAATGCCACAGTCCATCATTACATGTGGGGGTTACTTTTAGATGTCAGACTCAAATTCCTGCATGGTTTCTTCCGATCCTCTGTAACTGCCCTCAAACACTGTCCCTGCAATGTAAAGTCAGGATGGGCAGTTGTTAGTGTCCACTTAGATTCACAACAGGTTAGCACTGCAAGGCCGTTAGCTCGCCTAGTCCAATTTGTCATTTTATAGCTGAGGATATCAAGACTAAAGGGGAACATGATTTGCTTACATCAGCCAGCCAGGAGAAAACAAAGCAAGACCTTGAACTTAGGTCTCCTGACCCAGAGAGAAAATTTGTCACCCTATCCTCTGTGGCTTGTATAGACTGGCTCAGAAAACAGGGCTGTTTATTATCCTTGAATCACAGGCAGAATTCTAGCTGATCTATCTGGATAAAGTCCCTTCCCTTATCTCTGGCAGAGTTAATTGTATTTAAGAGTTGTAGTATTTCCATTTAACCCTTGATGACTACATACTCCATTTGGAAGAGTGGGAAAAAAGAAAGTTATATTTAGAATAGATCACAGAAGGATAATCATGTCCATTGAAAGCGTTTCTCAATTTTTAGGAAAGGCCATTTTTCACAGATTCCATTTTCAGACTGGGAAACGGAGGAAAAGTTTGGTGTGCCAAGTGCTTAGCCAGTTCTTGATTAAATAACTGACAGAGAAGGACATCATTCCGACCACATGTGCAGGCCAGTTCAGAAGGGCATGTTTCTAAAGGTTTCTGGCAAGAGCCTTGAAATACAACCTCTATACATTCCACTAAGCTTAGTAAGTGATAGTTATAATCTCACATAGTAAGAAAGGAAGAGAAAAGGTATGCCGGGTGAGAGGAAGAGAGTAGATTCTCTGACACATGGGGCATTGGGATCACTTTAACATGAACACCTGGACCAGCTGAGTCCACTAATGATATGAGGGAACGAAGTGGAACTCCCACAGATGTACCCTCCTTCTGACGACTCAAAATTCCCAACTTGAGAACAGCTCAAGAATCTACAGTGAAAACCTTTTGTCTCTGAAGAGACAAAAGGAGGGTATGGACACTTAAGGGTACCCCCTTACCACTTCTCCACCCCCTGCTCCAGCAGTGTCAGTGTAGGTACTGAAAAAAGTACAGATGTTAAATGTCCTTCTGTGGAAATATGGCAACAGATTTAAGAGTAGGAACTGAGCCTTCATAACATTAGGAACAAAGTAAACTATTAAGACTCATTCAATATAGGTCCTGTGTGCCTGTGCTCCTGCAGGTTCCAAAGAGGTTAGACAAAACACAATGATAAAGATGCTTTCTTGCTTGATGGGCCTTGCTACTTCACACCATAAACTGCTGTGGCCACGGACATGAATTATGCCCATTTTCTAAAGTCTCACAAGGAGTATCCCTGGATGTTTGTGGTGCTATCAATCACCTGGCAAGGCCTTAAGGCCTTGAGAGCCTAGAGAGCCTATTGAGAGAAACCTAGAGAAAGAGAAGTGAGAAGTTGGGTCTCATGAAGAGGGTCCTACCTATAATATGTCTTAGGAGGAGGGGTAGTTCTCCAGAACAGAGAGGTTCCCAGAACATCCTCTCTTCCCCATCTCTGGGATACTCCCAGACTTAATGAGGGTGCTGCTAATCCATGGACCTGGAAGCCCTGGCTTGTGCTTACTGGCAAAGGCCCAGAAAATTCAAGAATAGTGAAGAAGAATCCAAATAAGCTCCAACACAATGGCTCTTTACCTACCCTGTTCCCCTTAGCAGCCAGAGAGCTCTTAACTAATCTCCTAAGGACATCAGTGACAAAGACCAAGAGCAAGGTATCTGACTTTATGTGAAACAGGTCTCTTGACACCACACTTCCCACAAACATTACATTCCCTCACCTTGTTGGAAGGAGACGTACACCAGCCTCTCATCAAACTTCTGGACCCGCCGGAAGTTGTTGACCATTTCTCTGGGGGATGGGTCATCCATGTGTGTGCAGTACAGAGCTGTTTCCAAAGCCAGCAGCTGGAGGGTAGCAGAGAGGGAGACAGAAAACATATCTGGCAGGCAGAGTGATAATGCTCCCTTCCCTGGCCTCAAAGGGGAAGAGAGCTGCCAGCTCTTACTTCTCAGATTTGGGGAAAGCATCTGGAACCATCCTTTATGGTAGTTGGTGGGAGACACACCAGAAAGGAGTGGGAAAGCTCCCCTCTGCTATTGTTATCTGGGTGATTGGACACCCAAGCTGGGGCTGTCTTCCTACCTCTGCAGGCTCCTAGGAAGTTCAGCTCCTGACTATTCCTGAAAGATTTCTGCCTTACAAGGAAGGAAACCCGAGGTAGGGAGGGATCCTGAAACTCACAGAAACTGTGTCCCCCTCATGAGTCTCAATTGGATCCTAAGTCTAAATCAGAGGGACATGAGGGCTTGTTCTGCTGGTCCCATCAAAAGGAATAAAAGGAGGGAGTCAAGAGTTTCACAGATCATCTGACTAGTTCCGTGGAATTTTCATACTCCCACATAAATTATATAATCTGTTTCCAAGGCAGTTTGTGGCTTAGGATGTTATTGCTTCCCCTCACATTTCATCTCTTGATTCATAAGTCTTTATTCCTGTCCGCCTACTTGCTGCCATTTACCTGATTACTCAGATCAGAAACTCATAGTGAAAAAGAAGGAGCGATAGTGAGGGAGGGCTATACTGGACTCATGAAGAGAAGTTATTGGGTGGAGTCAGGCCTGAGTCACTGGCCCTGTCTCCTAACAGTCATTTTTCTTCTTGATAAATTTAGGCTGGGGAGTAGAAGCTGTGCCCTGCAATTCAGAAGACCTCACTTTGGGTCTTAGTTTTGTCATTAACCAGAGGGTGATCCTCAATTCACTTATCCTCGCTTTCAACATCGGTAAAATGAGAGGGCTAGAGAGGATCACTAAGGATTTGGTTTCCCCACTTGTACATTAGACTGTGAGCTTCTTGTGGGCAGAGGCCCTCAGTCATGGCTGCAACTGCACCTTCCTGGTTTGTGAAACACTTTAACATGACCCTGTCTTTATTCTGCCCCTGTAAAGGAACCATGCTCTTCTGCCTGGGAGGTGAACATCCAACAAGAGGGATAAATTAGGAAATTCAGCTTATCAATTCTTTTAAAAGACCCGTGGAGACAGGTTCATTTTCTTAGCTTGACTTGATAGCTCCACTTTTGAAATTCAGCACTGTAGAGTGCTTCCAGGCACCTATGATATTTGGAGAGGTTTTGAATTCTATGTGGGGAAATCAAGTCGTTGATTAGGATATGGGTGATGGTAGGGACCAGGGTACCACAAGGTCTCTGACTTAGATTATAAGACAGTTACCTGCTCCTGGGAAATTTGCACAGGATTCCTGAAGACTGTCCAGAGCACAGTGGGGTGGCAAGGAGGTGTGGTTAGGGACCCTTTGTAGCGGTAGTACTCATTAGGCCTCTCAGGAAGCAATTCTTCAATGCTGAAACCTGGAATGAACACTTCTTGGCCTGGAAAGATATGTTGGGAGATGGAGTCATCCTCATTCCCTGTGTCTAAGGTGCAGCTTAGCATGGAGATTGAATCTGGAAACATGAACTCGCCCTTTTCTGACCCAAGGACCTGCATGCTAGATTCAATTTTCTTCCGGTTACGTGAGGGTGACTGGAAACAGGGTAAATAAGCATCCTCACCTTTGTACTTTACATCTTGAAGGTAACGGAAGATCTTGTCATATGATGGATTGAAGAGGCCCATCTGCAACAAAGATGGGGTGGGTTGAACTCAATTCTATAGGCTGAGCCTGGATTGACAATTACTAATGGCAGGACTCAGCTGGGGGTATGCCAAAGTCCTCCTGAAGGATGCACTTTGCTGGGGCAATTGAAATTGATCACTAGGCTGGTAGAGGATTGGAGAGTCAAATAATGCTCACTTGACTCTCAGGACATCCTGTTTCTAGTTCAAGGCATTGGGCCTTGAGTGTTCCAGTTCTGAAAAATTACCCTCCACCCGCCACATCTTATCCCCTGGGAAGTTCCATGCAACAAGGCTGGAAACGGGCTCATTTCTTCAATGTCACATTTCTGGAGCCCAGCCACAGGAAGTGCTGCCTCCAAGCCAAGAGAGGGATCCTTATGGTGGATGACTTCCAGCTCCGGGAAGAAGGCAGAGTCAGTATAGGAGCAGCTTATTACCAGAGCCTTGCACACCCAATAGACTGGTGTGCATGGAGCCAAATGCCAAGTTTGACCTCATCCTGGCTTCAAACTTCGTGTAAAATTGCTTTAACATCACTTACCTCTATGAGAACACCTAGGACAGCAAGGCCTTCTGACTTGTCACTGGCAGTACTGGCATTGTGGTACAGCTCCGAGTTATAATAGACAATATGCAGCTGCAGCGGGAGAGAAGTCACCAATCAGGGGATGGGTAACTCATGGAACCTTTTTGGAGATTTGATTGCAATGAGCAGGACAGACCCACCTGCCCAACCTGCAATGCTTCTGGATCAAGTGCCGAGTGGCTCAGCTGAGTCTGGGCAAGTCACATGCGATCATTTTGCCCCAGGCTTCAGAATAAGTAGGAGAAATTAGAAGGGGAAAGTGCTTAAAAGTTCCCAAACATTTTCATGGGTAGTATAAAACTCATTTAATACCTATTTTGCCTGATAACATTCAAGCACTATCTCACACTGGGATACAGTGAATAAGAGCCTTCAGCTATAATTTAATCATATTGGTATCCAGTGCAGGAAACATGTTTCTCCCTCAGGTAGAGAAATTCACAACAGGGTTTTTATAAAGGCCTTATCAACAACATTATCAGATAGCATGAAATAAGAATGTAATCCCATGAATGTAGACATTTACATTTGCAAAATTCTATACTCTTTTCCTTTAAAACAGAAACAATTTGTCATTGTGAAAGTGAGAAAAAGGGAAGATTTTGAGAAATCTTAGGTTTAGAAACTCTAGGGAAACCGAATTTAACATACACTAAAAGAATCATGATCAAGTGGGATTTATTCCACAGATACAAGGATGGTTCAACAATATGCAAATCAATAAATATGATATATCACACCAACAAAAGGAAGAACAAAAATCAAGTGATCATATCAATAGACACAGGAAATGCATTTGATAAGTTTCAACATCCTTGTATGATAGAAATATTAAACAAAATGGATATACAGAAGGAATGTAAACTCTACATAATAAAAGCCATATTTGAAAAATACATAGTTTATGTTATACTTAATGGTAAAAAAGCAAAGATTTTCCTCTAAGATCAGTAATTGGACAAGATATCCACACTCACCACTACTATACAGTATAGTGATAGAAATTCTAGCAAGAGCAATTGACAAGAAAAGGTTGTAAAATATTTCCCAATTGGAAAGGAAGAAGTGAAATCACTTTGCAGATGACATGAAAATATACATAGAAAAATCACACAGATTCTAGTAAGAAGCTATTAGAAATAATAAATACAGCAAAAAGGTAGACTACAAAATTAATATACCAAAATCCATTGCAGTTTTTATACTCAAATAGTGAACTAGCAGAAAAAGAAATCAGGAATACATGCCTTGGAATAAATTTAACCAAAGAGGTGAATGGCCTGTACACTGAAAACTGCAAGATTTTGTTGAAAGAAAGAGAAGACACAAAGAAATGGAAAGTTATTCTGTACTCATTGATTGGAAAAATTAACATCATGATATTACCTAAAGCAATATGCAAATTCAGTGGAATCCTCATCAAAGTCCCAATGACATTTTTCAAAGAAGTAGAACAAAAAAATCATGAAATTTATTTGGAACCGTGAAAGACCCTGAATAGCAAAAACACTATTGAGAAAAAAAAAACAAAAATGGAGGCATCCTGCTCCCTGACTTCAAGCTATACTAGAAAGCAATAGTAATTAAAGCAGCTTAGTATTGGAATAGAAAGAGAGACACAGATAAGTAGAACAGGATTGAGAGCGCAGAAATAAAGCCACACACTCTAGGGTCACCGTAATGTATTATTTCTCTATTATTGACATTTATTGTTAATCTTCACCAGGTCTTTGGTCTGATGGTATGCTTAATAGCAGGAAATGCAATAACTAGAAGTATTTTAATAACCAAATCCTCCAAAGCGTACAAACCAACTCCTCCTTTATTCCTGCAGGAAGGTAGACTCTTCCACATTGCAATTAGCTTGAAGGAAATTGCAGTTCTAGAAGTTCAGAGAGGGGCCTGGTCTGAAATCTGTGCACCTCCAGTCACGCCATCCTATTTGGCAAGAATTATAGCTCCTTCACACTTGTAACTTGACATATAATTAACCTGAGACATTAAGCAGTTCAGTAGTAAGAACAGAGGAGAGTGGTCATGTCATCATTTACCATGGACTTGCTCCACTGGCTGATCGGTAGCATTTGTCTCCTTTATTGCCCTAAAACATTCAGAACCACACCCCTAGGTTTAAACCCATGGAAGCTCTGAAATAGAGTAACTCACACCATCACCTCCCCTGCCTCCCTCCTGTACACTTGTAGTGCAGAAGCAGTGCCCTGATCTTCCTCCTGTTTTCCTGTGCACTTGGGTGGGCCTGACCCCAGGGTGACATAACACAATGCTGTGCTTACATCCCAGCACATCCTCATTGAGTCTGATGGCCTGAGGTTCTGTACATTATGATGCCAGTCATCTCTTGAGATTTGTGGCCAAGTGGAGTGACCCTGGACCCAGGTCCTCCCAAGTTCTACGTGCAACCCATGCCATGGGAAAGGCAGAGATCTATGTAAATAGCACAGCCTGTGAAGAAGGACTGACAAGTTTGGGGCAGCAGTGAAGCCAGTATGATTCAGCAGGGGGATGTGTCAGCCAGACCAGCTGCTGGGATTTTAATCTCTGCAAACAGAAGGGCAATGCCTAGAAATAGGGTATGCACGTCCTGCTGTGCCACGTTGGGAACCCTGCCTCTGAGCAGCATTACTCAGTAAAAGACAGAGACACACTCAGCATGGCCAGGAGAGGAAGGAGTCCAGGACACCACAGAGAAGCTGTAGGGTATCCGAAATAGCAATACCTCCCCCTGCTGCTGACAGAGCCAGAGGTCAGTGCGTGGAGCATGAAGAGAGCCCCCTAGTGTGCTGTGCTCTGCTCTTACCTGCCTGTACACTAGTCAGGTGGAAGGGTTCCAGACCACCCGCTGCCAGGCAACCTCTGCCAGCCTGGTCACCCCACTCACCTCAGCGGCAAAGTGCTTCCCACCGACAGTGTGCTCGGAGCCATGGGGGTCGTTGCTGCTCCCCCAGTGCAGGTGTAGCTGCGTGGCACTGTAGCGGAAGGGAAGGCCATGGATATGCAGGTCCGGGGGCAGGTTCAGCCTCACTGCAGGGAGTGGAGGGGCAGCCTTGAGGGCCCTGGCCAGTCAGGCAGGCAATACTCGCCAGAGCTGGCACAGGGGGCAGATGGTTACAGCAAGGTGGAGACCAGAGAGATGCAGATTGCAGATCAGAAACTGGGCTCTTTCCCTAAAACAATTCCAGCAGCAGCACTACCCTTTTGATCTTCCTTGAGAAGTGATGGCAAGAGCACTAACACTAGACTAGAGGATGGACGCTTGTTTACGTGTACATATATTATACATCTAGCTGTGAAATGAGGCACCTGCCATGCTGTAGAATTATAAAACAGCAGCAATTATGATAACTGCTATTTATGGTGCATCTATTCTCTACCAGATCTCCAACATACATAATCTCCAGTCTTCACAGTGTCTCCCAGTTTTGCCTGTTTTTCACACAAAAGCTCAAAGTTAAACTTCCTATGCAGAATCTCACGACTTGAAACTGGTCAAGTGAGAATTCAAATCCAGGTTTGTCTGACTCCAAAGTCTGGGTGTCCCCTCCCCAGTGAATGTCATGACCCCTGGTCTAGTTCATGGCACACTAGAATTCACCCTCACACCACAGCCAATTGTCCAAGAGGCTCTGGCCTGTCCCCTTTCCCATCCCAAGAGATGTGCGTCTTCTGAGAGGTGCTGCCCTGGCAGAACCACCAGTGCCCCTTAGGGTGAGTGGTTGGGGCATTCCTTAAGCTCTGCCTAAGCCCCTCCTCTTGATTTCTCAAGGGAGCCCCATCCCTGCCATATAGAAGGGGCTGGTCAAGGAGACAAGGGAAGTTCAGAGGGTCTCAACGTCTCTCCCTCACCTGAGTGGCCATCATTGGTCAGGATAAATTGCTCATTGGAAGATACATTATAGCCTTGGAACTGAAGGGGCACGAGGCTGGCATTATACAGGAGGATGTCACTGTGCAGGTCTATTGGGGACTGCAGCAGGCCCCCACATGATGGGTACTTCTTAGACCAGCTCTTCTCCCCATTGGGACCTGGAAGAGATTCAAGCCCAAGATTTAGTTAGTTTTCCACAAAAGCTTTTCCCTCACCTTCTAATTCTGTGTTCAAGGCAACTATTCCTTGTTTTCTCTTAATCTTCAGAGTTCAGCCTTCAGAATTAGATCCAGAAAATGAAAGTCTACTTGCTCTAACAGTACTGCAGAGAAGGAAGAACTAGAGCAGCCCCATATCAAGGACTAGAGAGGACACTAAGCTCTTTTTTATTCTGTGTATTTTTCGTATTTTGACACAATATACATTCTCTCCACCTTAAAGACCTACTGACTCTCAGCATCTGTTTATTGAGCACCTATCATGAGGCAGGAATTACTCTGGGGTTCGGGGTTGCTGTAACACAATAGGGTCCCTAACCACTCAAGCTGGCACTCAAGCAAGGAAGAATTTAATGAATCTTCAGGGATGCCCCAGGTTGGAAGGTTGACGATCACAGCTCCAGGCTGGTCTTTGAGACTGGTGGATTATCAGATATGATCTTCCTGATACGAAACCCTTGAGGACACTAACTCTTGACACCCATTGTTATAGTAAATATAGAATCCAATCTGATGTTGATGTTTGAAAAATATTAAGTAATTATAGGCCTGGAATCATAGAACTAGCTGTAAAGTTTACACTAGGAAAAAAATTGACAGTACTACAAACTAATTATAACAATATAATTGACAAACTATCCATGAGGAGAAGTAGACTTGAAAAATAAGTTTTCCAGGGCTCAGACTTCGGCTAACTGCAGGTAATAGAGCTTTCTTTGGAAATGAAAATAAACAATCCAATCCCATGTTCAGATAAACTTTCCTACTCCCGCAGGGAAAAAAGCCTTTAAAGAATGTAAAGCTATGTTTAAAAGATTATCTTCCATGGTAATTAAACAGATTTTCAGACTGAGGTTTCTCCAGAAAAGCAAATAATTGACATGTCATGGCTCGTTCAGGTAGAACCATGGTGCCCTCTGGGCTCCCTCAAATTTGGGGCTCGCCATCTGGGCATTCACCAGTATTTTAGCACAAGGAAGGGTGTTAATGAGAGCAGGGAGGGAGGGAACATCACTTCTTCTGGGAGCTCTTCTATAGACACAGCCCCATTTCATGAGAGGTAAATAGGAGTCCTGGCCCACGGAATCTCACTTCCCTACACCTTGCTCTCTAACTAGGGGCCACATCTGAGAGTAGGGAGAGTTGGAGGCAAAATTTTGTGCTCAGGATTATTTTAAAATGCTATGAGAAGTTGATCCTAAGTCTGGACACATATAGTTTGTACTAATTTCTCAGCTGTCAACCTTTAGCTATACCTTTACAGAAATGTTAGAGCTTGAAGGGACTTCAGAATCTCTGGTCCAGCTATTCACTGGATACCAGTTTTCTCATTTGTGCATGTCATCCAGTCTCCATTGAGCATTACTGTTTTTATTTCCCAGGCCTCAGCGCTTTGGACGCAAAGCAACTCAACTACAGCAAGATGGTGACTGGGGGAGAGGGAGGCTGGAGGACACCAAGCAGTCACTCCAGGGGCAAACTGGAGAACAGGGCAACACCGAGTTCCTCAGGGACTGTGGGGAGCAGAGATGAAGTGATCGTGGGATATGCCATGCGAACCCAAAGTGTCAGGAAGAGATGCAGCTAATGGCTGGCAAGCCTCCCAGAGTGAGACAGCCAGCCTCCTCTCTGCTCACTCAAGAAAAACTCAGGAAGTAAGAGGCAAAGCAATAAGATTTCTCCTTGCACACACCACTAAAGCGACCTGCGGTTAGAAGGAGGACTTTCTTTTCCCAGAGCAGAGGTTCTAAAAGATTTCAGGAAGAGAGCATTTTAATGACAACTAAACCCCCAAATGTTGGGGTCTGGGGCATCTCATTTTCACTTCTGTCAACCCAGGTTGTGATTAGGATGACAGGTTTATTTATTTTTTTTTTTGAGGATGTATTTATTTATTTATTTATTATTTTTATATTCCCCATACAATTGCAACCCCCTGATTTTGACCCCAATCCCTCCTTTCCCTGCACCCCACCCCCAGGATGACAGATTTAACTGGCATTCAGTAAATATTTTCCTAAAGAAGGAAGGACACCAAAGAACAGAGAACTTGGGAAAGATTATCAGGAAGAATTTTTCTTTTATTTTGCCCTAAATACTCTTTATTGTAAGTTAGACCAAATTGGATATTTGGGGATAGGAAAGGCAAGAGTCAGTGATGGTAATTAAAACCTTCCTAGAAAAAAGTAGTGCCTCTGTTGGATCAGGAGAGTCCAGAGAATAAGATTCTTGTGCCAACTGTCCCATCACTTCAGTGAGTAACCTTGAGTAAGTCGTATTCCTTGCCTGTTTCTCTTTTGCCCTTCTGCAAATGGGAGGGTTCTGTACTATGTTCTGGAGGGTCCCTTCTGGATCTCAAGCTCCAAGATTTATTAAGATTACTAGGACTCTGGGCCTCCCTGGTGGCACAAGGGGTTAAGACATAACCTGTGACGCTAACTGCAGCCTCAGGAGCATGAGTTTGATCCCCAGCCAGCCAGGGAGCAACCCACATAGTGCAGCAGACCTCTCCTGACTCGCCTGCTGCTCCCCTCAGCAGTGTATTTCAGTTGATCTGCCTGTTCTGTTCCTCCCTCTGTCTCTGGTGAATTCTCTCACCCTCCCTCCCTGACCCCGCATCTCTGGCCTGTACCGCAGCTCTTGTATGCATAAAAATAATAAATCTTTTTTTAAAAAAAGATTACTGGGACTCTGCATCAGGCGAGTTTAAGTGAGTTGGAGAGAGTTGCTCATGCCAAGTCAGCTCCTGGGCATGTGACAGGGTGCCAAGTGGAAACGAGCAGTGAGAACCTCTGCTCTGGGAAAAGAAAGTCCTCCTTCTAACCCAGATCCCTTTAGTCGTGTGTGCAAGGGGAAATCTTACTGCTTTGCCTCTTACTTCCATGAGTTTTCCATGTGCTCCTGACTGGCAGCTTCTCCCACCTTGGCTGAGGGCTGGGCCATACTGTGAGCAGAGAGGAGGCTGGTGCTGGAACAACTTGCTGCCAGTCTTGGCTTTCGTCCACAGGGGGCGCTCATCCTTACGTGCCAGTCTTGGGCCCTTAGGGCAGCAGGGTCCAAAAAGCTTTTTCTCCTCCTGCTTCTTCTCGTTGCTGCTTCTTTTATTGTTGTTGTTGTTGTTATTATTATTATCATCATCATCATCATCATTGCTATCGTTACTAATTTAGTAAACTTGGTTCTTAAAACTCTATGATTCTATGGGATCAGCAAGGTAAATTATCCATTTTATAGATTAAAAAAGTGGAAATGTAGTGCTTAGACTTTGGCTTAGTAACAGGGCTACCTTGCCTGAGTCACAGGACTTGCCAGAAAAAACTCTCTTGGGAATGACTTTTCCTCTAAAAAGCATTTATTTCTAGCTACCATAAAAAAGTCACTCTCCTAAACTTTGCCTGCTGTCTGAGTATTTATCTGGGAGATTTTGTGCCTGCCTGTGTCCTCTTTCTCCCACGCTCTCCTTAACAGGAGGGACCATGTCTCATTCACCCTGCCTTGTCCACAGGCCTGGAGCAGAACAGGCACTCACATGTTCACGAGCTAGATTCTCATGCCTGTTTCATGCTTGTTCCTTTGCAGGGAAGCATGTAACTATAATAACCGCCTAGACTCCCTTCCCTATGTAATTTCTCCCCTTAAAAAAAAAAAAAAGCAAAGAAAAGCAATGTCACTTGCTTGGGTTCCAAAATTTTTCTACCTAGAATTCGAGCTTACCTGCATGAGGATTTGTTCTGTTTGGATCACTCATTGAAAAAGGAATCTGATTGTTGTCCTGTGGCCTGGAAGATGCCTGCCATGAATGGGGCTTTATAGCAGTTCATAGCACCCTCCACCAACCTGTGACTACTGCTGGTGTCTCCTTCTTGCACAGTTGGGGACCACTGTCTTTGTGGCTTGTGAATGAAAGAGAGAAGTGGCTGTGGTGGGTATCTGACAGTTAAGATCAGGGGCATTGGCAGCCAACTCCTTTCTGCCCACAGCCTGGGCACTGTGCAGCTTGCCCCTGCATCAACACTGGGCACTGTGCAACTTGCCCCTTTCCTTTCCATAGTGGCTACACCAGCAGCTGTAGCCCAGGCTATAATTTTTCAGCTCAATGTCAGCTTTCACACTTATGCCAAGGGCTCTACTGCCAGAAAAAACTCTCTTGGGACTAGCTTTTCCCCTAAAAAGCATTTATTTCTAGCTACCATAAAAACGTCACTCTCCTGAACTTTGCCTCTTCAGTTGGTTGGATTTCTCTCATGATCGTGAAAAGGGGAGTCATGTGTATCCCCAGTTTGTCTTGCCAAATAAAAGCAAAGCATTATTTCTCCCAGGTCATGATTTTTTCTGTTTTAGGCAAAACAGAAGTGGACCAAATTTCTGTTTTGAAATGTCACAGGAGATTAATGTGACACAGTTCAAAATGCCTCTCATGATTTCTGTTTGGGAATTATGAGGCCCAGAGTGCAAGACTTGCATTACTCAAGGACCAGAATGTTTTCATGGGAAATTTCAAAATGCATATTAAAGTCAAGAGAAAAGCAAAATGGAATCCCCATGTCCCTTAGTTCTGACATCTAATATTTCATAGCCAATCCTACTTCATCTATACAGTGCCCACTCAACTCTATCCCTGCATAATTTTTAAACAAAGTTGAATGTATTTCATCAGCACATATTTCAGCATGTATCTCGAAAACATAAGGAACTCTTACACAAAACCCCAACACAGTTACCACACTTCAAATTTACCAACTAATTCCTTAACATTATCAAATCACAGAAGAATTCATATTTTTTCCTCATAAATTTTTATTGGTTTATTTGTAAAGTTCAGGATTGGATAAGGGCCACAGATTGCTCTTAGCTAATGTGTTTTGACCCAGATCTCAAGTTGGTAGGGTGATGCCTCATCACTGAACAACTAACTGACCCTGTGCCTCCAACACTCACAA